ATACATCTTACCAGGTGCACCTTATATACAGGCAAATAAAGATTAAAAAACTGAGGTATAGTGGGCCAAATAGAGCCCTAAGGCAGATTTTATTGGTCCTTTATAATGCTTGTTAAAAGTTTTTATTTTATTGCAAATCTTTGAAAATCAGGAGATATCACATAAGAATCTAGATTTCTGGCTACTCTTGAAAAAAATAAAAAGACCGGGTCATATTGGGCCAAAATTCCAATATGGCAACCATTAGCCAAAGCTGGGTGGTGGCTGTTCCCTTTGTACCATTCATGGTCTTCATTTGCCACAGTCCCCACCATTTCTTATTGCCACCAACACCTACCTATTCTTCTGTATGGTATCCTCCTGACTCCTATAGACATTTGAAATTGTGATCCTTGCCTTAATATCTCTCCTCACCATAGATATAGTAGCCTCTATGTTCAGTACTTTTATAAAAAGTAGATTTTTTTTTTTTTTTTTTTGCAGAGAGAGAGAGAGATCATTAACACCTTGGCATAAAGTAGGTGAGCAGACCACTGCTTACCAGACAAGAGGATCTCAGAATTCTGGTGAGGAAGGAGGAGAGGAAAGGCAAAGGATTAGGCAGTGGTACTCTGTATAATAGACATATCATGCAAGCCACAAATGCGAGCCATATATTTAACTGAAAAATTTCTAGTAACCACATTAGAAAGAAGTAATGACAAATAGGTGAAATATTTAATTGAACATATCCAAAATATTTTCATTGCATCATGCAATCAATTTAAAAATCATTAAGAACCACTTTACATATTTTTCACACGAAGTCTCTGAAATCCAGCATGTATTTTATACTTGCAGCACTTCTCTGTTCCGACTAGTTACATTTCAAGTCCTCGATAGCCACATGTGATATGGTGACAACAGGGGACACCACAGAGGTAGAGCTCTTGCTAGCTGCCTAACGGAATTCAGAAGGGAAACACATTTATTAGGGGTTCACTATGCACTCTATGAAATACAAATACAATTTGTTTTCTTTCAGTTTGTGTGTCTCACTAACAAAGACAGCTAGAGCAGAGGGTAAATATCACAGAAATAGTATTTCAACTGGTATCTCCACTGCTTTTCCTATTGTTGCATATCCCTGGACTTAGCATTTTTTTAGCTTCATCTCTGACGTTTTTTCATCTCTAAAGCTGGTAATAATAGCATTTATTTTAAAAGTTTAGTGTAAAAATTATAAAAATGCTTTATAAACTAAATAGCTATACCGGTTTACCAAAAAGAAAAAAGAGCTGTGTGTTTTGAATGCTAGTCTCTGTGCTAGACACTTCGCATATGTTGTCTTAATCTTTAAAATATCTCTATCAGAGGGTATTATTATGAAGATTTTAAAAGGAAGAAACTGAAGCCTATAGAAATTAAGTATCTCTACAAATTCACGCAAATAGTGAGTGGCAGAGCCAATCATAGCTTTGAAAATAGATTGGATTATATTCACGGCATTATTCGCAAGAGCGAGTGAGTGAGAGAATGAATCTTATCATCCATTTTCTGAGACGTGTTGGTATTTTAAAGATGAAGAAACTGGCTTTATAATTATATCCAGGATCACACACATGGCGAATTAATGGCCCTGATAAATTTAGAATTGGACAACCTCTAGAGTTGTCATTCTGGTTTTAAGTCCATTGAACCCTCTGAGCCCAAGGAATCTCCTGATTACTGAGATTACTTTTTAATTCAGAAAAATGAAAAGCTAATCCCTTTGAGGTCAGATCTCTTCAATGGAGGAAATGAACACATAGGACTGGTAGGGAAATTCATTACCATTCGATGATTCTGCCCCTTCTTCCTGGAAAGTGAGTTTCTTTAATGAGATGGTTTATCATCAACTTTTTTAGCTTCAGCTGAACTTTTGCAAATATAGATAAGAAATACTATTTGTGACTAAGTTCCTCCACAAGTGCACATAGACTCAGTATAAAGTGAGGCATTATTGCCTCCAAAAGCATATTGTTTCTATGACAGCAAGTGACACGATTTGTGTTAGCCTACATTTTTTTCAATGTATTTCCACCAGAACTGCTTACCAGGTGGGCTCCCCTCTCAGCATGTACACCTTAATCCTTCCCAGTGCAGTACCTTTGCAGGTACTGTTCCCATTGCCTGGAGTGCCTTGTCCCTCAGTGTCCCTCATCCAAATCATGTTTGTCCTACAGGGATCATTAGCATAAGTTAGAAATCTGACAATTTCAGGCTGCATCATTTCTACATCTTTGACTTCAAAGCACATATTGTCTGCACCTTTCATTTTATCCCATCTCATAGTCCACCTTGTTTTGTCATTGAACTAGCTCATGTGTGCGTGTTTACCCAATTAGATAAAGGTTCCTTAAGACAGGGCCTGGGTATCTACAGTGTTCTGTACTTCAGCAGTAGTTAACATATTTTATTTACTAACCGCTTGAATGTGCTTATTCTGTCTAATGGGGTTGGGTTTATAATAGGTATATAATGTCTGTTGAATTAAATAAACTTTAGATTTGAAAAAACCACATAGAGTAGATTCTCTAGAAGTAACAAAGTTCTGCCAAGATTTTTTTAAAAAATAAATTTATTTAAATTAGTTTCAAGTATACAGTACATTGGTTAGACATCTATAATGTTCATAAAATAATCCGCCAATTCCTCCCTTCCTCCCCTGGCCCTCCACTTAGCCATCATATTAATGCTAACTGCATTCATCTGCCATGCTCCCTATGCCCAACTATCAACTACTAATTTGTACTTCTTTAGCCCTTCACCCCGTTCTCCCAGACTCTCAACCCTCCTCCCCTCTGTCCGTCACCAAAGATTTCAAGATTCTTAATTGCCTCATTCTCCTTTCCTCTTTGTCACATCTCTATAGACCTTGAATGTGAGTTACTAAATCTTGCTGTCTTTCCATTTTTACATCTGTTCAAGAGTACTTTGATAATGCTACTCCCCACTCACAGTGTGTATTAATACCCTCAAGCAAAAGACTGAATTATTTTGCAAAGAATATGATCAGAGTAACACGGAAAGCAATGAAATTAATATGGATATCGAAAAACTTTGCTCCAGGTGAATTGAAAAACTAATTGAAAACTATGACTCAGCGTCCGTCTGCATTTTTCCTGGTTTAACAAAGCAGTACAAAATGTACGGTAGTCATGGATAAACTCTTTATGCCCTTCCAGGTAATGACTAACTGTGTGTGTGACTAAGACAGAATAGGAGAACGTCTCAGAACTTAGGGGGAAAAAAAAGTTCTCATAACTAATTAGTCCTGGATACTCCCAGTTCTGGGAAAGATTATCATGTCATAGACTTGGGTGACATCAGTGTTTTTGTCAATAAGAACCTGTGAGGAGTAGTTATTGTCTTTAATTTAAAAGTAAGTACAGTGATAAAATTCAGGGATCTATTAAGTCCTTGAGCACCCAGAGGGACCTTATTGCATACATTTACCCTTTTTGCAAGGCTTTTCATATTTCCACCAAGATGTATTTGTGAAGTCAGCGAGCACCAGGACACAGTGCATATTGGCAAAACAGAATGTTCCTTTGGGGTCTGGGTTTTCAGGTCCTTGAAGAATACACTGGGCTGGCAATCTTCATAAGAACAGGTACTCAGGTTTACCTTTAAGTAAAACAAATTAAATTCCAGCGTGAAGACTGTTATCAGAAATCCCCAAGACCAGCCCAGCTCCGGAACTCTCCCTCCTGCTGCCATGGATATTTCGTCAGGTAAACAGAACTGTTGGCCACTTTAATGCACTCTACCTGCCTTGGGCTATTTTAAAGTTATCTGACTTTCTAGCCTGTACAATTGGCTATGCTTTGCCGTCAAAGCTGCTTTTTAAAAAAATTTGAAACCAGTTGATTCCTCTAGTGGGTTGTCTCCATGTTTCTTCAATGACTACATATGAGGATTGAGGAGGAGGTAGTGCTGGGGGCACCACCTCAGGGGGCACCCTCCAGATACTTTAATAATCACCTTAGTCGAGGCCGCCCCAACCACATCCTGAGCTGGTGAGGGGCCTCCGGTTTCCTCAGTTGCCAGTCTAGAATCCTTCTGGAGTCCCATCATTTCCTCATTCTCCACTTCCAATCAATCAGCAAGTCCTGTCAGCTCTGCTTCCAAAGACCGCCAACCCGTGTGTGCTCTCTGGGTTTTATATATTCACCTAATCATCACCCTTTCCTTTCTGTCCTACCATAACAGACCCCTGCCTGGTCTCCCTGCTGCTTCTCTTGCTCCACTAAAGTCCATTCCTGCCACAGCAGCCTAAGTTATCTTTTTAGAACATAAAAAAGATCATATGGCTCCTTTGTTTCAAACTCTAATTGCTTCCCATTAGGCTTAAAGCAAAAAACGAATCTCTCTCCTGCCTGGCAGAGCCCTCTATCATCTGGGTCCTCTGATGCCCAAAAACCGATCCCTTCTGGCACGCCCCCTCCTTCCCTGGATGGCTTACATTCTTTCCATCATCAGAGCTCATGGAGCTCACCCTGCCTCCTTGCCTTTGCTGTTCCTCTGCCAGGAACCCTCTTTCCTCTGATCTTCACACAGATGGTTCCTTCTTCATGCTAATCTTAACTTGCAGTCACCTCCTCAGGGAGGCCTTCCTTGGGTTCCCACTTCAAAGGAGCTACCTAGTCACCCTTTACCACATCACCCTAAATTAATCCTCTGGAGAGCACTTAATCACAATCTAATATTTTCCTATTTATTATTTTTAATTGATTTATTTAGCATTTATTTTTCTTCACTAGGATATTATTCTCTTACTCTTATATCTCCAGTGTGTAGAACAGAGCCTGTCAAAGAATAAGTGCTTAATAAGTATTTTCTGAAAGGATGACTAGATAAATACTAGTAAATATCATGGCCAAAGCCATTCAGTAATGGTTTCACCCTGTATTACACTGACATAACCAGTTTCAATTTAAGTATAACTTTTACTACATGATCTCATGTGATCTTTGTAGGAAGCTCTGGGAAAATCAAGGAAAGGGAATCAAAGGACCTGGCTGCCAAGAAGCTGCTTTCTGTCTGATGCCAGAAAAAGGAACAGCAGGTTAGACGTTCAACACTTTTCTTGTGGCAGGGCCGCTGAGCCCAAGCAAAGGTCATACACATGCGATGAGGACCCACCCACTTTCCAAGCTTTTATTCGCATGGTTGATCTGCATCATCTTGTTTTTTAGCTGAAGGACCTGGGGAGAGTTTAATGAATGAGAGGTGGAGACGTAGGGAGAAATGCAATGTGGGGGGTGTTGACCAAGACGCTGTGGGGAGGCCTAGCTGGGCCTGAGCCCCTAGCGGAGTGAGACCAGAACCAGGAGCTGAGCAGCTGTTTGCACAAGAGAATGTTGGATCCTCAGACACAGCAGAGCAGCCTTGAAACTCAAAATATAAAAAATGGCACAGGGTGGGGTGAGGGTGTTGTCCCTTCCTCTGAATGTGGTGTGACCACAGCATGAGTAGGAATGGCAGGAAACACAGAGCTCTGTGACATTTTGCAGGTGGGGCAGGGGCCAAGGGACACCTTTGTGGCACTGGAAGACAGGCCTTGAGTGAGGGTAGCATCATAAGGAAAATTTTCATGAGGGACATTGCAGTGTTTCACTTTCAGCAGTGCCAACATCTCAGTCCACTAAATGAATCTCCAGACCACGAGAAGGTTCTGCAAGGCCTAGGCACCCAAAAGCTCATGGAGGCCCCAGCCAGCAGCTCAGGCCCTGGGCGAGGTGGGGCGGAGGCAGACACTTGGGCCCTGTGCAGAGGTATTCTCACACAGGGCATCAGCAGAGCGGCAGTTTCGAATGACAGACAAGTCATGAACCTCCCAAACCTACGGATGGTTTCTGAGCATACTTGATACATCCTGTGGACTCACCCCAAATAAGCAGAGACTTTGAGAAAAGTGAGGCATGGAGGGCCAGAGTTATGCAAATAGTATAGTCAGCTTGCAAAATTTGAGTGAAAATGTGATCTAATCAGCCCCCACAGGCTGGTGAGGCCTGGAGACATCACGGCCCTGCCAAGGAGGCTTAGTAAACAGGTTCAGACCTACTCAGCTGGGAAGCAATTAAGTACCAATGCCAAGGGGGGGCCAAAGGCAAGGATGGGCAGAACAATGGCCCTGTTGTGGACCCAGGCCTCCATGGGCTTCTGCGGTGGTGCCCCAGGCCCACCGGCCATACTGCTTCTGCACTTAAATAGGCATAATTAATTAACGGAAGCTAATTGTAATCACTTCTGCCTTGGGGCTACATTCTACAGAAATTTACAAAATATGGAAAAGAGTTTCCTGCCCTGCAATGACACTGTAACCCCAACAAAAAGGAGACCCAGATTGTCAAAAAATCTATGGCAAAAGGGTTTCATTTAGATTGGGTCTGTAATGTTCTCTATTATGAAGTTAAATATAAACATATGTAATTGTCTTTCATATCAATTAGCTCTGTTTATTGGGGACAGAGACTGTAACTTACGCATTCTTACATCCTCAAAAGCCTCCTGGGATTTTGCGCATAGCAGGTGCTTAGTATCTGTTATGTCAGAGAATAGAATTCCAAAGAGAAACAAGTGTGTTCTTTCTGACGTGGGAGCTCATCTTCGAAGGTGAAACCCTGGAGTGTGGTGTGAAGAGGGCACACTCCTAGTGACTGAAGAGAATCAGGTCCTTTTCCATTAATGCTCCCAGGGAACATAAAACAATTCTACTTAAATAGAGTTGAATTCCAGGTAAAACAAGAAGTTAATGAAACAATTCTACCTTTTGTAGCGGTCTAGCTGCTCCCACTCTAGAAAAGATCCACATATTTGGTTTCATCCTATTGATTGGAGAGCTCTGTGTGTGTATGGATGGCTGCGGTCTGTGGGATGTGTGCACCCACGTGTGTTTGTGTGCTTTGTTAACAAAAGGAGAGAAACCGTCACAATCACGGCCACGATGGTGAGCACTGAAAATGCCACTGCTAAGCAACTAGAATAAAAGTTCGTCAATGGAAAAGACAGAGATTTAAAAGCTGACCGAAAAGCAATGAGATATGGCCATAGTTGAGTAGCCCAGGAACCTCTGAATAGTTACCGAAAGAAGCCCTGGGTCAGTATGTGGTTAGGGGGAGGCTGGTGCTGTGACTGAGCCGGATGAAAAGGTTCTCGGGGCAGGCAGATGTCTGCTGTGGCAGAGTAAGGAACTCACAACCAAACCTCGTTTACCCACCCTTAAATGGGCCTCCCTGGAGCCTCCCAGCAGACCAGCTAGTCACATTGGTCCCATGCGGAATCCAGGTAGCTTCACCACCAGCTCTGGGAAGTCTGCCTGTCTTAGAGTTGACTTCACAAATGGATCTCCCAGGCATTTTCAGGCAAACTAAAAGGCCCTGGGATTGCAGCATCTTGGGGCTATTTGGTGTACTGTAATCATTACTGTTGCATCACTACAGCTGCTGTGACCAGGAAGGCAATGTATGCTTTAGGAAATGTGTCAGTCCTTAAACGATAGCCCACCTTTTTGAGAATTCAGTCTGCCCCAAGACTCTGACTTCAAATTCATATGACGCATGGCAGCCACACCTCCAGGTTTCCTAGAATACCCTCCAGATATCCTGCTCCCTTATTCCATGAAGACTTCATAGGAAGCCCTTGTCAGGGCTTGGTGCTTGCTTCGGGCTGGGAATATATCACCACCCTAGTTAGATAGCAAAACCAGGGTTGTTCCCATCAACAGCTACTTCTGAAATGATGGTGACTCATGGGTCCCCACCACCTTCAGAGCTGAAGGTGAGTCATCAAGGAGACAAGAAATTGCTGTCTAGGCCCTCAGAGCCTGGGTTTAGGAATGAAAGGACCCAGTCAGACAGGACAGGGACAAGCCAGAAGTCCTTAACCACTCTCCCTGAGCTGAGCCATGTTAAGCCTTAAATTTAATCCATTTTTTCTCCTACCACTTTTCATTTTTATTTATTACTACCCGTTGAGCCAGAAGCAGAATGGTCAAAACATTTCCAGTGACGCTGAATTTTCAGGGTATTTACAGTCGGCCTGGAAGCAGCAGGAAGTGGGATTTATAGATTTGCAGAACCGGGCAGGCAATCTCCCAAGCCTCAGCATTTGGACTTGTTTTTAATTAAATAAATGTGCAGGCTTTAATGGGACATGATCTCTGGAACCCTGGAGGGTCTCCCAATAAATTGAGATAAGATCCTTAACCCAAAGTCATTTGCATCCCCTAGAGAACACTGACAGGTGGGCGTTCTGGCAAGTGGGAAGGATGATTGCAGAGAGAAGTAAATCCCTGGGAGGTCAGCGAGGACTTGGCAGCGTAGAGGATGCTGTCACATCTACTATGAAAAGGAAAAGGTTCTTGCAGCATGATGAGCTATTTCAGCAATGACGAGGCGGTAGCCATCAGTGATAAAAAGCACGGCTCCTTCTGCTTGAGTTCTACTCCCAGCTTCTCGTCCATACTGGCTGACCTTAGATAGGTTATTTGAACTCTCTTAGCGAAGTTTCCATGCTTTTAGGATAGAAATAATAATAGTACCTCCAACAAAGATCACCATAAGCAAACCTCAAATGGCTGCTAATTTAAGAGCCTTGTCTGCATCCATCAAACCACAGTGCTCCTCTTCTCCAAACTCTCTAACGATTTCCTGTCTCATTGAGAGGAGAACCCAGGTGCCTTCTGGGGCCTTCAAGGTTCTGTTTGCCCACTAGTTCTCTCATCTTCACCACTCTCCCTATACCCACGGCTCTGATCCCCCTGGACGGCTTGCAGTTCCCGGCACACAGAGCAGCCTGCCATGCGCCTCCCTCTACTTGTTCCTTCATCCTGAAATGCCCCCTGGCCCCATGTGGGCTCCTCCTTTAGAGTTATTTGTGATACAATATCACCTCCTTAGACAGAATCACCCTGACAACACTGGATAAAATAGCCAACACCTCCCCCAACACTCCTGAATATTTGGTGAGTGAGAAACAGCTGTTGTTATGTGTTTGTCTCCAAAGTCTGCGAGGTTTGTAGGTACACCCACAAAGACAGCATCTGTCATCCCGAGTGCCAACTGATCCAAGTTCCTCACTCACAAGGCTGCAGGGAACCTCTCTGCCACCACCCATCCTGGGGTGGGCAGAGTTTCCACCAAGGGTACAGGCTGCCCTCAGTGGAGCCCTGCAGTTCACAGGGGCCAGAAGAGTCCTGGGTGCCAAGCAGAGAGGAGAAGAGCCTCTTTCCCAGCATCTTGTCACATGCAAGTTATCCACATCGTCACTGACCACGCCTCCCTCACTGAGGTTTATTGAGCAGTTTTTACCTCCTTTAGCCATCTGCTCCTTGACCAGAGTTCAGAGTCCTCCAAGCTAGATGAAGAGTGAAGAACTACCAGTCCCACCATCTTCCCTACTTTGTTCCCTCCTCCAGCAGCTTCTTCCCCAATCCCTCTCCAAAAATAAAGAAAAAAAGCTGTGTGCATCTAGTTCGTAGAGACACCAACAGACGCGAACAGATGTCAAGAGCAGGGCCATGCAGGCGAGGAAGGGGGTGGTCCAAGTGGACTAATAGTGCTCATGTGGAGCCTTTATGCAAATTAGTAAAGAAGGTGTCCTTATGTCAAGACACTGTACCTCTGTCTCCTAGAAAACTGTCACATTAAGTAGACAACTCCACAATGTCAACAATGAGAGTTGTGTTTACCCAGGTGCCCCACTAAGCGCGTTATCTGAATTAAGTTAGCGCTTTCATCTCCGTGCCTGACACGCCGTAGGCCAACTTTGGCTTGTTCAATTAATAGTGTCCATCAACATCAGGGCGCAGTGAACAGTCTGGCCCTTCTCACATTCTTAGTGTTTGCAGACAATCTACCTTCCCAGCCTCTCTCTTAATCTGTGAAATCAGAGCAAGGGCAATATGAGAGGCAAGAGGATCCTACCTGCTTCCCAGGCCACCCCAATTACCTTCCAGGCATCAACTGATCATCTCGGCAGCCAGTTGGAGTAAAAGAGAGGGGCATGAGGCTGAGGGCAGGCTAGGGTAGGCCTAGTACTAGGACTAGCATTTTCCCTCTCACC